TTTGTCTGGTCATTAATTTATTATTTTTACATCAAACGTTAATATCCAATCGCGGTAACGACTTGACTTAATGACTCCGAAATGAAAAGTTATTCGATACGCTTGGCAATAAATATTCATATCATTTAGCTGATATTACTCACGTACATCTAAGGATAGCGTCACTTACTCATGTTGTTTTATTATAACAAATATTTTTATTTGGCTTGCTAAACAATGAAAAGGTTAAAAGGTATAATCATTGAAAGAAGATTCAACCTTTTCGTGTCTAGATTCCGATTTTATTTTCCTTGATATGTGGAAAATTATTTGGGTAAATCAGAACAGATAAATATTGTTAGGAGTTCGTTTCTATGATAGTCAAACGTATCAATATTTCATTTTAAATGACGAGGCGTTTGCTCTCAATGGACTTGGAAATATAAAAACACTACCCATCGCAATTATATTACTGGTGGTAGGACCTCTTGTGAGTCCGCGCGGGTGGGTACCACCGCCCTGCCTATTTCTGCCGTGAAGCAGTAATGCGTTTCGGTTTGAAGGGTGGGGCAGCCGTTGTAACTATACTGAGACCTTAGAACTATATCTCAAGGTGTGTGGCGCATTTACGTTGTAGATGTCTATGGGCTCCAGTAACCACTTAGCACCAGGTGGGCTGTGAGCTCGTCCATACATCTAAGCTATAAAAAAAAAAAAAATTATCGTCCCAATTCCAATTGAAGTTTAGTTTGTTTAGAATACAATCAAACTGTTTATTTGCCGTAGGGATGAATCAACGAACACTTTCTGTACAGCCCTTCAAACAGGAACTAATGACTAATTTTCGGCAGAAATAAGAATGATTGAAGCCTCACAAAGCCACCATTATTAAGCAAGTTTATGTATTTGAAGGGTTTTTTTTAATGCAAAATGTTATTCTTTCAGCATCGAAGCTATTAGTGACAGAGTGCTAAGTGCGTATTAAAAAAAAACTGGTTTTTTATTGACATTGTCACATCACTCGATATCGCGTACAGAGCGCCTCACCTTTAGTCCATTACAACATTGGAAGTATTTACGAAATTTAAAATTTACTAAGCACTATTAACTAGGGGGATATCATTTATAATCAGAGTAGCTTCTTAAAATCGAACTGTTTTTATTCTGTTTCTACCTATGATGATAGCCTTGAGAGGCTATTTCAGCTTCGCCCTAACATGTAAACCGGAATGTTGCTAACACTGGCCCTAGCAAGAACAGTGCTTCGCAGAATCTACCACTGGATCGGAAACGCGACTCAGTGAGAAGATCCGGCCAGAAACTCCCGTGGGCAAATCGAACCGAAAATATACTCTAAAAGGCAAATAGTTATAATATTACGTATACAATACTAACATTACAATAAACGTCAAGCTCAAACAGTTCAGATAAGCTGCACCGCACACAAACTCCGGAATTATCACCCAAGAATTTGTTCAGCTGCCCTCGGTCATAAACCTCACAATCTAAGCCACGAACATCGTTTATAGCCAAACTTTTGCTGTTTGTAAACCGCAGACAATATGACCCTTAAGAACGCAAATTCAACAATAACGAGCTCGAACCGTACTTATAACAATAAGGGAGAGTCTGTTACATTAACTATTTACGCGCAACCAGTTTGAATGTTTAATTTTTATATCTAGCATATCTTGAATTGCATCGGAGATATTATTATTGAAACATCGTTTTAATTTTCAATTGCTTTTGCTAACATAGCCAATTATAGCTACAGTTTATTTAAAACTGTGTAGTTTTAAGCTATTGCATAGCTTTTATCGCAGGTTTTGAGCGCAGCGACCGAATCAAGAAATTCCGTAACGAAAATAAAACCTAACACCCCTCACTCCGCCTACAATCTAGTTCGCGTTCAACACATTCACACGATGCGCTTGTGTAGTGTTTGTGAAAAGCGCGCGGTGTGACGTCGCACTGCATGCGCATCATGAAAAGTCTGCCCCTCTCTCTCTCGCGCGGTCTAGCTTATGAGTGTGAAGGGGACAGTTAATGTTTTGTTTTTGTTAATTTTTATAAATATAGCGTGGTCTTATTTTATTATTGTTTGAATTTTAAATTAATATTGTCTGATTATAATTGCATAAGTAGATAGAAAATGCTATGCAATAGCTTTACCGCGGCAGTCCCCGATTGCCACACGTGTTCTTTTTGTTTTTTTGTTTAGACAGTTAAAGCTCTCACCGAAGTGAAGTGGTTGCCGACGTAAATATTTCCCCTCCTTTAAACTAGTGTAACTGGAACCCACCTGGAACCCATGGTTGCTTTGACCAAAAATAGATAAGATGGTGACAGTCACCGGTGCGCATGGAATTGTCTTCTATCATAAGTAACGCAAATTTATAAGTAGAAGCTTTTAACTTTTTTGTTATACTTTCAACTCTTATGTTAAAAGGGGAGAAAAAATATTAAAATTTATAGTCTGATATTTATGGGCGGAATCGATACAGGTATCTTCGAATTTTAATAATTCATCGCTCTACTTAAATTTTCGTATTTGCAATGTTTTTATTTTTTTATTTTTTTTATTGCCCTTGTAGTCAGACGAGCATACGGCCCACCTGATGGTGAGTGGTTACCGTCGCCCATGGACTTCAGCAATGCCAGGGGCAGAGCCAAGCCGCTGCCTACCGATGTATCTTTTGTTATTACGAGTATACAAATCCACAGACGTAGAACAACAGTAATGTTAACCTTAATTTTTTTTCTTTGCCCTACGTACTCTCAGGTGTCCCAAGGGGCTATTCCAGCTACGCGCGAAACTTTGAGAAGAACCAACGCGAAATTCAGTGGGTACATTTTACTTAGATGGACAGTCTAGCTCACAGCCATAAAACTCTACAAATAAACATAATCCATTTATGTTTATGGGAAACCCATGTGTGGTACACCGGTCACATTTCATGTACTAAATATATTTATGTGGCGTACTCCGATAACATGTCAGCAATAACTTCCCAAACTTAACATAAGCCAAGTGTTAAGTAAAGCCAATTTACGCTTCTGTTACCCATGTGTCATTCATGTGATTAATCAAGCGTATGTGAATGAAGGGCCATTAATAATAAATTGTTTGTGAACTTTAGATCCCATCACATGACACACTGTACGTAGGGCTGCCAATTTTAGCTAATTCGACTATTTTAATGACAATATGTCTTTTGAGTTAGTTTTTATTGAGGATTTTATTCTTGACAAGAAAATTGTTTTCTAACGAAGTTTGTTAGTTGTTGAATTATTTTAAAACGAAGATTGACGTATTTGGGCTGATGACGATGATGTTTTTTATATGAAGATTAAAAAATACCGTAGGTGGAGGTGCGTTGATATTAGACAATATTGCTTTTATGACTTAACTAATTTGTTACTTTTGAATCGTAAATAGAAACTTTCCAAAGCATTATACAGACAAACTAATTTGTGTACAGATTATGGCCGTAATCCGTCCCTTTGGATCTTAAGTAGATGGTTTCGAGGATTAGTCTTAGTTAGTAAGTTTGACAATATTTGAAACAATATGATCCTTGTTCCATGGATATACAGTCAATTATACAAAGTAATATTTTAGACTAGACTGGTGGTAGGACCTCTTGTGAGTCCGCACGGGTAGGTACCACCACCCGGCCTATTTCTGCCGTAAAGCAGTAACGCGTTTCGGCTTGAAGGGTGGGGCAGCCGTTGTACCTATGCTGAGACATTAGAACTTATATCTCAAGGTGGGTGGCGCATTTACGTTGTAGATGTCTATGGGCTCCAGTAACCACTTAACATCAGGTGGGCTGTGAGGTTTTCCACCCATCTAAGCTATAAAAAAAAATTTGTACTGAAACGGTAATTCTATACTGGCCTGTTCGGAAAGTCTTTTTTAGGTGTAGAATTCATAACTTTTTTCACTCCAGTAATAATGCAATTAATAGTTTGTATGATACCCCTTGTATAGTTGTATTATAGTATAAAAATTAATCCAAAATTCATTTAATAAGTCTCAATTTTTTTAAACTGCTCAAATCATAAAGCATTAGTTTCAGTGCTAGCCCGCCAAAAAGTACGTAAGCCTTACTAAAGAATAAATGGGATTTTTCATTATTTATTTTATTGTGAATTACATTTTTGAAAAAGTTAATAGTACTTTTGTTTGTATTTCGATGTTTCACGGATAATGCTCTTCTTCGAATAGTACTAAACATATATAATTAATAATTTCATGTTTGATTATAAAGTCTATTAGTTTGTTAACTATTTATTCGTTTTATATTGAAGGATGAATTTGATTCCTAATGATAACACTCTGCGAATGAAATGTTCATGACATTATGACGTTACCACGAAGCTTTAATGATAATTAATTAGTCAACTTTCCTATTCTTTGTATATAAAACTAGCGATCCGCCCTCGCATCGCTTCGGAAACATTAAAACACACATGAAACCAAAATAAAAAAAAAAAATAAAAAATTAGAAAAAGTAGCCTATGTTCATCAGGGACAATGTCGGCTTCTAATGGAAAAAGAATTTTTCAAATCGGTCCAGTAGTTTCGGAGCCTATTCGAAACAAACAAACAAACAAATCTTTCCTCTTTATAATATTATCTTTGTATATAAAATGATATTTGTTTCAAAAATAGCCTAGCTTTGAACAGAAGAAATTGAGGTAATCAAAATCTATTCAAAAACACGGATATTGGAGAATGTTACGCAAGCAAAGAGCGTGCTATTTCTACACATGACGCCAAGTCTTGTATGCGTCATCTACATACCTATATTATATTCCATTCTATAACTGAGATCATTTGACCTTTTAAATGTTATCGGAGTTGAATAAATTTTGTTATAATTTTTAATCGCTAACAAAAAATTTAATATTATTTAGTGTTCAAAGTCGTCATAGCCATAGAAATTAACGATTTAAACTTAACAGGGTATATTGCTTAATAGAAAAAAAAATCCACTCAATATTCCATTTGTGACGTTTTATTATTTTTTCCATAGATTATTCACGTAGTACGCTTATACACTTTACACAAAAAATCAATATGGTTTCTGACATGTATTTCTGAACCAATCTACCACTTCCTCAATTGTATATCCACCGTCCACGTACGTTGCTAGGCTTCTGTAATCAGGTGAACTCGTGCCCCCACCAGAAAGACCGGATCCCGATAGTCCTTTAGATGTAGGATACGAATGCGACACAACGGGGGGGATAAAGTTATTTTGAATCACTTCTCCATTACTATTCCAAGTTATTTTCTTTAAATCATTATTCAAATTCACTAAAACGGACGGATACGGGTCGCCGGCGTCCAAAGTTCTGAGAGTACAAGTCAAACTCGACGATAGATCCTTCACATCGGTTCTTCTCTGGGACACTATATCCGTTTCCTGTACAGCAACGCGACCGTAACACGAATCGTAAAGGAACAACAAAACAACTAGTAGATATTTCATGTTGCCCGCGCGGATTCCTACGGTTCAATGACGGTGTTGTTCTTTTGTAAATTCGACGCGCACGATTTTATCAAACGAGAATATCGGAGTGTTTTTCCATTTACCGACACGATATTTATTAAATATCGGACCGATATTGCGGCAGTGTAATGTGTGAAGTTTTTTTTTTTTAATTATTGCATGTGTGGACGAGCTCACAGCCCACCTGGTGTTAAGTGGCTACCGGAGCCCATAAGCATCTACAACGTAAATGCCGCCACCCACCTTGAGATATGAGTTTTAAGGTCTCAGTATAGTGACAATGGCTGCCCCACCCTTCAAACCGAAACGCATCACGGCAGAAATAGGCAGGACGGTGGTACCTACTCGTGCGGACTCACAAAAGGTCCTACCATCAGTAATTTGCGGGTTTGATTTTTATTGTCATTCCTTGACCGTGGAAGTCAATCGCGAACATTTGTTAAGTACGTATTTCATTAGAAAAATTTACTTACTTTAGGTACTTACCGATATTATTGCCCATAACTTGTCGGTGTGTCTTCAATCGTCTTTAAATATCGTTTTAGGCAAACTTTTACATTTCAATAGGTACACTATGATTAATTAAAAGTTAATTTAAATTTATAGAAGGCTCTCATACTTTTTTAAAACTTCAATGTGAAAAGAAACGCAAATGTCAAAAACTGTTTTTTTTTTAAATAAAGGTAAAAGGTCCCCGTTAGTCGTCCATGGCCACGGTAGCTGTAAATTATTCGAAACGTCAGAAATAATAAAGCATAATATTAAACGCGATACTACGTAACCATAAAAGCAGTTTTAAATATTTTAATTATTTCATGGAATTTCGCAACTAGATCCTAAACATATTGTGTTTTTGTTGTTGGTTACTAAATTTAACTAATTTACAACATTACTAGTATAGAGAAAGTTCTGTACAAATTCAATGGTTATAGTCTGTAAGTCTCGCCTATTTGCAATTCAAATATTATAGTTCATATTCGACGTTAGTAACCTTAGCTTCAAGTATGGTGATTATACACATTATATTGCATTTTTTTGTGTGTATAATGAAGTAACAATAGTAGTATTTATTTTTTTATATTTGTGAGTTTACTGGTGGCCCGGAGGCCTTTCCAATTTTACAAAGACAGGTGGGCGAGCAAGGGCTCAGCCAGGAGAGATGGGATTTGCTAATAGCTACCCGAGCACCTCCAAAGGAGACCTAACAACAAACTGAATTTACTATCGGATCGGAATCGCGACCCGCTGAGAAGATCCGGCGAGAAACTCAGCGGGTTGATGTTTAGGTTAGGTTACACGTTGAACTCTTTCTCGAGTTTTTTATTTATTTTATTGCCCTTGTAGGCAGACGAGTATATGGCCCACCTAATGGTGAGCGGTTACCGTCGCCCATGGACTTCAGGAATGCCAGGGGCAGAGCCAAGCCGCTGCCTACCAAAGTTGCCTCTTCGACGAGTACCGTTATCGGGGTCCCTACTCCAACTGTTATAGCTAAAGGCATTTAATGCAAGGTTTATTGGATCTCATGGATCCGTAACGACGTGTCTAGGGCACAATAGTAGTAGTTAATGTATGACTTTTCAGATAAACAAATTTTAATAACGTTTGTACGAGTATTCATCATTATCCTGCCCTTCTCCCAGTCACCTGGGGTCGGCGCATCATGTTTTCTCCTTCCATACTTTTTTATCATATACCATTTCTTCGCTCACTGCCCTCATACCCATATCGTCTTTCACGCAATCCATCCATTTCTTCTTAGGTCTACCTCTTCCTCTAATACGAAATAGAAAATAGATATGAAATAGAAATAGAAGAAGAAATAGATATAGAAAAATACGAAATAGAATACGAGTATTATGTATTTTAATTCTTATCTATCAAAGAAACTATTACAATATCAAAAGAAGAACTGGTTGCGTAGTTGCGAGAAACGGGGTTTTGGTTTTTGAACGAACAAATATGAAATATGGAAGCGATCCAGTTGCATTTAAATATGTATATTCAAACTCGTAATACTAGCTAAGTATTGTTAATTTTATCGATGTCAAGAAATCTATATTGACTCTTAAATACAAATATGATATTAGAAAATAAATAAAACTCGAGAAATACAACTGATTTTGCATTTGCCACAATTGAACTATACAGTGAAACTATTTATAAGTTTATTAAGGCGGAACAATAGAAAATGCTAAGCAAAATATGTACCACCGGTACTTTAGGGTTTATATTTAAATGGTGGTTTTTACGTTCTAAAATGTTTTCCAAAAATGTTTGCTCAACTGATCACATAGTTACATGGATCGTAAGAAATGGCAGTGTAATGGAAACACAGGATACAAGAAGATCATTGAATTGTGAAATCAAAAGGAAATAGTTTACATTAGTTACACTTTGTGCTCCGGAGCATTCAGATAAACGTTTAACATTCAACAGTATTGAAGGTATGTCATTATTTACATTGCTTCTGAGTTTTATAAATGGGTAATAATATCCTTTAGGATGTGAAAGAGGATCCAGATGATGGATGATTTATTTTCTCGATTCAATCTGGTTCTAGACGAGCAGGGTATCACGTGGTACGTGTTAGCGACGAGCTTAGTCGGTGGGGTATTACTTGTAAGCTGTACTACTAAATAATACTAAGCAATCAGAATATCAATAATTAATTTTAACTCTTTCCATTTCACTCTCTCTCTCTCTCTCCGGTTCCGGTAAGCCGTGAGCTCGTACACCAATTTAAGGAATAACAAAAATAAGTATAAGTAAAATTAAATATCTATGTAGTAAATTCAAGTGATTTTAATTCATAAATACCTTTTAATCTGAATGATGATTTTATTTACCAATACGAGCACTTTTGTGAATCGAATTGAGTATAGGTATGTGCGCTTTTACGAGAATTTATGAGCGCACGGTTATCCCATATTCTTCGACTCATATATATCAGGCCAATTTATTGGAACTGGATTCGCATAGAGCAAAGCGTCAGAAAGCAAATATTATTTTATCTTATTTCGTGATGCGTTGTTTGTTATTCATATAACGGGAAACATTTGAAATTATGTTTGTGGAACGCTCTTGTTGATTATCGTCCTTGTTACCCAGTCCACTCTGAAATTATATTAACTACAAAATCGTTTGGTCCTTTATGTTCTTCGATGGACCGAGACCTTTAGGATTTTTGGAACAAAGTTTCTTATGGGACGATGCGGAGGGATACCCTAACTGGGAAAAAACGTCCGTAACGTAAGATTTTTATTAGTAATGCACACAGTGTACGACTTAACTTTGTAATAAAGTACAAATTAGTAATGCACACAGTGTACGACTTAACTTTGTAATAATGTACAAAAAATAACATATTTTTTTATCATTCATTGACCATGATCTCAGAGCGTTCGTTTGCGCAATACACTAACTATGCAAACAACCGTGAATGAAGTGTACCACAATAAGTTCGCACGTTACCGAATGACCGTGGGTTGTTGCGAAACCTCCAGTTTTATTTACTTTATACCTCGATTAGAACTTAAAATTAATATTTTTATAATCAGGAACTTCGTTCCTATCCGGTGTCCCACGACACCACTCTTTTTTTATTATTTTCAAAACCGTGAACCGATCTCTGCTTGAAATTCCTTCGTGATATTTATAAATCGAACTCTCTCAGCTCGAAGCACATTAGATTAGCTTTGTGCATGTTGGGTTGATGTTTACACTTGAATCCTTCAATCAGTGAGGGAATGTCTGATATACTATTGTTTCTCGCTTAACAGAGGGTTCGTCGGGAATATGATGTGTTCGATTTCGTTACAACTCATTTCGTATTCAGATTTCGTGTCAATTCGATATGCGTGTGCTGTGTGATCATTATGTATTGGTCGTTTTAGAACTATCTTAATTAGTATCGGTATTGTATTTTCTTCGGTTTTTTCTGCTTTTACGGTTGAATCTTACTTTTAAATTGGCATGGTATTATTAGCGACTTTTCGAATAATTTACAGTTTTCGTGGTCAATGACTAAGGTGTCATTCGTTGCTATTTGTTTTTTTTGTTTTTTTTTTATTGCTTAGATGTGTGGACGAGCTCATAGCCCACCTGGTGTTAAGTGGTTACTGGAGCCCATAGACATCTACAGTGTAAATGCGCCACACACCTTGAGATATAGTTCTAAGGTCTCAGTATAGTCACAACGGCTGCCCCACCCTTCAAACCGAAAGGCATTACTGCTTCACGGCAGAAATAGGCGGGGCGGTGGTACCTACCCGTGCGGACTCACAAGAGGTCCTACCACCAGTAATTACGCAAATTATAATTTTGCGGGTTTGATTTTTATTGCACGATGTTATTCCTTCACCGTGGAAGTCAATCGTGAACATTTGTTGAGTACGTATTTCATTAGAAAAATTGGTACCCGCCAGCGAGATTCGAACACCAGTGCATCGCTCGATACGAATGCACCGGACGTCTTATCCTTTAGGCCACGACGACTTCAAAACTTGTTTGTTCAAATGTCGCATATTCCATTCAAATCTTAAAAGTAGTTAGGTAGTATTAGATTTTAGAATCGATGTAGGGTTGTGTTAATTTAATTTAGGTGAGTGCTTTCTGAAGGTAATTTATACTTACCATTTTTATCGCTTTACTATGATCATGTCTGATATAATGTTAATGGTTTTTAAATGGGAAAATTCTGGTTCATTATCGGAACGATTATATTTTGACGCAGTGTCGAAGTAGGAATTAAAAAATTAGACCTATCTATAAAAATGCGCAAAACAATGACATTAAGTTAAAAAGATAATAATCGTAAGTCTATTTTTTTATAACAAGACATAAAAATATAAGACGACAATTCCGCACTAGAAAGAAGGGCTGAAGGTCTTAATTAAAGCAGGTAACTAATTGTACTAATTTTAACGAGACATTTGGATAAATAATGGACAATTCAGCCCCTTGGGCGTCTTTATTATTTCCCCAAGGGGTCTCACCGTTCCCCAA